TATGTACTTTTTGTGCTTTGCACAGTTGGAATCTTGCAAGACTGAGAGAGGGGTGTTGTTTGAATAGATTGCTGTGTCTTGGACTCAGCTGGTAATTTCATCTGTGTCGACTTCAGATTTGTACTGAACAAGTTTAGATCCATTTAATGAGTAATTTAATAAAAGGAAAAGCCCCAAATAGCATGTGTTTGGTGCTACCTTTCTGAACTTCTCTAGAAAAATAAGAAATAGTGTATATAATTAGTCTTTGTGTTCCTTGTTTTTCATTCAAAATTATTAAATATCTTATATTGAACAGTGAGTGCTCATCCTGGAATGCTGTAAAACTGATTAAGCGATCAAATAATTGTCATTTCTTCAACTGAGCGTGTCTGAAAAACAGACTTTTAAATCTCACAGGAAATGCTAAATCTGATGGAGACAAAAGTGCAAGCTGTTATAGGGCTGATGCTGGGTTATTTCACAATGACTACACTATTATCTGAGGACTTCAGAAGTCTTTCAGAAGTTTTGATTACAGCGAATGGCATCATAAACTAGGCCAGGGATAAAAGAGTATCTCACAGTTCCTGAATAATTGAGTAGGTTTCTGTATAACAATGAGTTGCAGTATAAAAGGCAAATGTTTGTTTGCTGCATGCTCACATATGCGCCTATGTATTCATTTTTATAGGTAAATTCATATGCTAATGTATTTTTAAACAGTGAGTTACAAGCTGTCTACTTCTAGACAAAGAGCTGCTGAAATCCAGTGGCACTCTGGAAGTTTTTACCAGATTTAGAAGTGATTGTATGTAAAAATATGTATGTGTGTGTATATATATATATATATAGATATATATATATATATAAGCAATATTTAAATGTAAGAATGTACGATAGTGTGTCTACAGTGCTCAGTGAGCTGTTGCTTTCTTTACAGCTCTCCCTTCCCTAGTTGTTTGAAAAGAAGCAGCAATAAATGGATGCAGAAGCAGTCTAATGGTAAAACTTGAGTTCCACCCTCTTATTCTTTGACTTGCTGCAGCCCATGTCTGTGCCAGTGCCTTTGCATTCTTCATCACAGTGCTGGACTCTGGGAATAGGTCTAATGAGAACAGTCCTTAATTACAACTGACATTTGGCCCTCTTCAGTAAATACTGTGAAGACCCCTCTAAAAAGCAGGGGGTCAAAGCCTCCTTCTTGAATTATGTCAGTTCATCTAGCAAAGCTCCAAATCCTATTCCATGTTGGCTGATATCCAATGAACAAAAGTCTGAAGTTGCCATTCAGGATCCCTGCTCATTTGTCATTGAATGAGTTGCTTTGAAGTCTGCATTGGATGACCTTTTATCTGGAATATATTGCCATCCTCCCAGGGAGCAATCTGAGTCTTTCATTTAGCTTTTCTAATTTTCCACTTACTAGGAATACTTCCAAAGTACCAGATAGAACTGATACTTACATTAAAGTAAAATATAACTGTGATATAAATATAAAATAAACAACGGAAAGAAACCACTCAAGTCAATTGACATGAAACTTCTGTTACCTTATCTCCAACTGTCCAGAATTAGGTCATCTGTAAGATATGGATTCTGTGGCTGTGCTAAAACCTGCTGTCACTGATGATGAAGTCTGCGAGTTGATCTACTATTCTAAAAAAAGTCTGTGAGGACTGTAAACCATTAAGGGCAGATAATGGAAATCAATAGAAGATTTGAAATGAAGGCAGTGATTTTTACCATGATGAACTTCTTAAGAAATACTTTCCTCGGAGAATGGGCGATGAACCAAAAATACACATAGCCTAAAAAGGAAGTGGATCCCAGAAGAGCCAGGAGTATTATTAAAAGAAAGATTTCTATTAAATGAATAAATGTTCCCCCTTAGGACAGTTAGCACTTTTGCTTCTATTGAGGTCAAAAAGAATTGAATCTTCTTCATCTCCTGCAGATGAGGAGATTCTTGCACCATAACAATGTGAAAAGCTGATATAGGTTAATCAAGAGGTAACTGTGGAAGCAGTGCTATACCTTTGGTAAAATATGTTGCAGGACTGCCTAGATGTCATTTGAAGAAAACACTATCTAATAAAGATGGATTATGATGTCCCACAATGTAGTGCTTTTTTTTTTTTTTTCTCCAGGAAATGTGATATTGTCTTTCCTTTCCCCCAGGTTAGGCATAGTAATATCTGGAGTAGGAAGTACAGCTGTACAGTTGCCAAATCACAATCTTAGCAGAAAACAAACAAACAAACAAACAAAAACAAAAAACAAACAAAAAAAAACCCCAGAAACTTCTGTTCTTTAAGAGAGGTGTGCTTGCAGAGGATTTCATTATATGCTATTTTGTTTTCCAAGAGTCTTCCTTGTATTTAAATGTACTGATGTTGTAGTCCAGTGGGTAGATTTTGAAAAGAAAACACTTGTTTGGACTGATTATAATTATCTGAGATAATGACAACAGCATAATGTCAGTATTATTAGACTGTGGTTAATTAGGCTTAATTATTTTAATGACATGATATTTGCTGTTTATATTCAGTTTAGGGAGTGTTATACTATTAGGGAAAGCTTCTCAGTTTAGCTCTCCCTGCCTGTATTCCACTTCTTTCTGATATCTTCTTTCTTCTCTCCTCAGTGGGAGATACGTTTGAATAGTACTGCACTTCTTGCTTTGTACCATTACATTCTGTAAAACTTCAGAAGAAATAAGGCTCTTCTCCATGTATGGATGCATCCTGATTTCAGCTAAGACGGTGTCAATAGTGTACCAATGTTTGGTTGTTACTGAGTAATGAGAGCATACTCAGAATCAGGCCAGACCACTCAGCAGAGAAGAGCCACCACTATGATGGCACAGGGCAGGGTGAGGCAAGAACATATGGCCTGAACTAGGCCTGGGGATTATTGTATTCCAGGTGACATCTTACAAAAGGCCATAAAGCTGTGAGAGGCTGGCTAGGAGGAAGCTGCTGCTCAGGGTTTGCTGGGCATTGGTTGACGGGGAGTGAGATGTTGAGTTGGGGGTGTTTTGGTTAGCAGGCAGTTGCATTTGTTAGCTGAACATTGGTCAATGTGTAGCAAGTAATTGCGTTTTGGTTATGTGCATATATGTTTATAATCATGTTTTTTATTTTCTTTTCTGTATCAATAAATAGCCTTTATCTCAGTAAATGAGCTTTGTTTTGTTTCTGTTTCTCTCCTTCATCCTATCTGGGAGGAAATGAGAGAGTGGCTGTGTGCTGCTGAGCATCTGCTGAGTTAAACCGTAACAGGGTGGAAGAACTATTAGCTAGTTTGTGTGTGTGTGTGTTATTTTAAAAATATCAGTGAACTAATAACATAAAATGCCATATAACATTGTTCGTAGAGCCATACACTCACTGAAAAAGAAAATGATGTAAACTACTGTCATAGGTATAAACCAGACCAATATCTAATCGCTTACTTGCATAATGTAATTTAGAAGGACAGTCTTAACTGGCTTCTCTTTGAACTGTGAATGTTTTCTTATTTGACTGATTCTAAACTTCTAGCTGTGGTAATATACAAGACCTTTTGAGAATAAACTGTATAAAATAACTGTGCCCATCAGTACAAGTTAGGGAATGACTTGCTGAAGAAGGTCTTTGTAGAAAAGCACCTGGGTGTTCTTGTGGACAAAGGGTGACCATGAGTCAACAGTGTGTCCCTGTGGTCAAAAAAAGCCAATGGTATCCTGGGTTGAGTTAAAAAGAGCGTGACCAGCAGGTCGAGGGAGGTGAGCCTCCCCCTCTACTCTGCTCTGGTGAAGCCACATTTGTAATACAACACAGTCTTCTGTGTCCTAGTTCTGGGTTCCCCAGTTCAAAAAAGACAGGGATCTCCTGGGCGTCCAGGGATGGGCTATGAAGATAATGAAGTCTAGAGCATCTCCCATGTGAGGAAAGGCTGAGTAACCAGAGTCTGTTCAGCCTCGGGTAAAGAAGACTGAGTGGTCTTGGAGGCGGTACCTTGGTGGTGCACAACATTAGGATAAAGAGTCATGGCCTTGAACTTGAACGTAGGAAGTTCCGTACTGACATGTGAAAGAAGTTATATACAGAAAGGATGTTGGAGCACTGGAACAGGCTGTCCAGAGAGGCTGTGGGGTCTCTTCCTATGGAGATATTCAAGACCCACCTGGAAGTCTACCTTGCAACCTGCTGTAGGGTATCTGCTTTAGCAGGAAGTTGGACTAGCTGATCTCTTGAGGTTCCTTCCAACCTCTGTGATTCTGTGAAGTAATCTAATAATGTATCCAAGAAAATGCACTGTAAGCAAAATCTTGCATAATGTCCGTTGATATGAGAGCAATACTTTCAACTTGTGTTTTCTGGATGATTTTCTTTTTTCTCTATGTGTTTCCAAACTTTAATAATCCACATAGCCTTTCCTTAGTGAGTTTGTCATTGAACTAAGTCAGCTAGATTTTCTTTTGCCCAGCAGTGGATACATTGATACTTGTTTCTACTGTTTGTTTTCTCTATGTACAAGATTATAGTAACAACTGATTACTATGTTACAATAAAAGTTGCAATAACTCTGTCTCAATGACACTGATGCTCTTGTAGAGATAGAATGCAGTGAAATGAATGTATAAACCATAAACATGTACAGTCACGCCTGAAAGGACTTTCCCCCATGACAGCTTTATAATTATTTTTATGTTCAGAGTTCATGGATTTACTTGCATCTCCAGAAATTGTCAAATTTGGCATGCACGAAAGAGTCTAAACTAAAAAAAATCTATAAAGAATTCACAATAGATATTTTAAAATTGGTGGACTGGAATTACCAATGCTGAGAACATCATTTGTTTCTGAGTTCTGTAGGTTATTAAAATAAAATGTGATGGTTTTAAAAAATCTTGTTTAGTAAATTATGTATCTGAATAAATTTGTGCTGATTTCTATCTAAAACAAACAAACAAACAAACAAGCAAACAGCAACAACAACAAAAAACTGATACAATTCATTGACTTTGTTTCCAGATTTTCAGGCGATGTTGGTTGGTTTTCAAGAAGGCTTCCAGTAAAGGACCCAGGAGGCTAGAAAAGTTTCCAGATGAGAAAGCAGCATATTTCAGGAACTTCCACAAGGTAAGTCATGCCTTTCTAGTGATCCAAAGCACTGCTTTTTTACTACTCTTCCATGGGAGGGGTGCTTTTGTGATATGCCTATTTTGCAATCAGTATGTTGGGAATCAGGTTGAAAGCTGAGTTCTGACACTAGAAACATAGTAAACCTTCTGTAAATCTCTGTGATGCAAGTATTACACTTTTTTTTTTTTTCTTTAATGAGCACATAAGCCCCAATATTTGTGAAGTGACAACTTATTTTTTATTCTTCAAACATTAGTATTTTGGAGATGTGTAAATATCTCTACTTAATGAAATTTTAACCTTTATATATAGAGTATTGAACAAGTTCTGAAAATGCTGAATGCTGAATGGCAACAGTGATAGAGCATTTACTATTACTGGTTATACAAGGGTGGTCCAAAACTTACTTGGATTTTCTAACAAGTTTTAATATTCAGGTCACTCTAGATTACATTGCAAAAGGTCTTTGAATAGCACATGGTCTCACTAGATTTAACTGTGCAGCTTTTCTGACTTTGCTATGCAAATTGTGGCAGAAGGAAATTTTCTCTCTTGAATGGAAACATAAGGAAAACTAACACCTTTTATTTATCAACATTCAAATCAGCATCAAGGAGCACAGACACTTCTTCAGTAAGTAAATCATTGGGGTCTTATGCATCTCCATTTTTCCATAGGTATTTGAGCTTGAAAGGTAGATCAAATCAAGTTTATATTCGAAGGACTTCATTAAAATTGTTGCATACTACACTTATATAACAGACCTGGCTAGTGGGCATTGTAAATTACAAAAGGAGATCTGAGCTTAAAAAAAAAAAAAAAAGAAGGAAAAAGGAAAACAAAAAACCAAACCAAAACAAACAAGCAAACAAAAAACTGGCCAAAGTAGTACAAAGCTAGGATAAATTAAAAATAGAGCTCTTCTTTTTTAGTCATCATAAATGAATATTTACTAAGATGGAGATAAGCTGGTCTCATGAGAAAATTGAATGATCGGATTATTATTATTTTTTTTTTGTTTGTTTGGTGTTGTTTTGTCTTTTATTTTCTGGCATCCAGTCAATATGTAGATTTTATTTGTTATTCTATAAATTCTCTAATGTTGTTATGCATTGTTGTTGTTGTTTTCCCTGATGGCTTTCTTCTTACAAATATAAGTAATGGCATCAGTCCTTATAGACAAGTGCCTCCTGACAGTAGCAGTGAATTTGTTGAAACATGACCTCATCCATTTGTTCCAGTTTCTGGCATCAAATTATTACTTGTCATTACTGTAAATTTAAATCATTATACTCTTGCTCAGAGAAGTTATAGCTTATCTGTACTGTTTTCCCTTGAGCATTTGTTGTATAAGTTGTGCAGAACAGCTGTGTTTACTCTCATTACTCCAAAGAGGGCACAGAGTGGCAATAGCTCTATACCCATCCCAGGGGTGGCTGTGTTCTTAGGATCCATTCCCACAGTACCAGAAAAGGCCAAAAAGGACGCTGCAGCTTTACCAATCCAGTGAAAGTGTGTGTGACTGTTGGTGCTTGAATAATATTTTGGACGTTTTTACTTGCAAATGATCTAGAATTCAGAGTTGGGTGGTTTTTTTGTTTGTTTGGTTGGTTGATTTTTGTTTGTTTGTTTGTTTGTTTTAGATTTCATTTGTTTGAGTAATCTTTGTGATTGAAAGAGATGTCAAAATGTACTTTGTGCACTTTGTTTTTTTTTAAAGCCTTATCATATTAATTTTTCCATACTGGAGATAGTTACATTTTCCTGAAATGTATGTATTGTTTATATATTTTTTCAATTAATATTTTCTCTGCTGGCAAAATTATCTGACTGATCTGGGAAGGTCACGAATTGTATAGCTTTCAGGGGCAGCTTGGCTGATTAAAGTAATAGGAAAGTAAATGTATAACTGTTGGTGAAATTACTCAGTTTTGTACACAGAATAATAAAATCTGCAGTAACTATCAGATCTCTCTTAAAATATGGAAGAGTGAACAATATAATTGTTTAAAACAAGCATTCTCTGCATCAAAAAGCAAAATGCTCAGAAAAATGGAGCTGTGCTGGTAATAAAGCTGTTAATAGAGTCTATGCATATCAAAGAGCAACATGAAAATTAATAAAAAATATTTTTCAACAAAGATTTTATTAAGATAATAATATCTTATTTTCCTATCAACGTGGTTAAGAAACCTGTAAGCTGAGCATACTGACAGGACTTCAATTCTTACAATCATGGACTTGAAGTGCTTAAATGACAAGAGCTCCCTGTGAGCCTGTTCCTGTGTACATCTCTACTCATCATTCCAAATCATGACAGCTTAGGGTAGGAAGTACAAGTGTCAGTTCATAAGAGTAGATAAGAAGTGGTGTCAACAGCAGTGGAATCAGTAGCAAACCCTACATACCATAGAACAAGTAACTGCTGGAAATTATAATCTCCTAAACAGTCCCATATACGTTAATGGTGGCTCTTCTATTAAGATCAATGTATTTATTCCAGCAAAATTCAGAGAAGTATGTGTGTACAGTTCTGTGCAAAACATGCATTCTACTTTTGAAAACTATCTATCTGTTTAAATAGATGCCTGTATTTCAGTTGTATTAAGCATTAAAACAAGCTAGAAAACTGAACTTTTTACTTTAAAAACATTACTTCACAGGGAAAGGGCATGGAAGGTGCACACTCCAGCAGGGTGAAAAAATCCATGAATTTTATAATATATTATTTCCAAAATGTCATTGCCCCCTCGGAACAATGCAGGTTGAAAGGGACCTCTAGAGTCCGTCTAGTTCATATTACTGCTCAGGACCCATCAGTTAGATCATGATGTTCATGTCTATGTTCATGTCTATGTTGGGTGTTTGGTATCTTCTGGAATGTAGGCTCCATGACCTCAGCAAACGTAGATGTGAAGTTGTGTGCTTGGAACCTAGTAAGTAAAACAGCAGAAGAGGCTCTACAAAGAAGTTCAGGGCAAGAGGCAATGAATAGAGCTTGCTCCAGGGGAAATTGTCTGAATATAAGGGGGGGGAAAAAATGGGTCACAGGAACAACTTAACATCAGAGAAGGCTGACCAGAAAAGTCAGTATTTACTCACTGGAAAAACTAAAGAACTAGTTTTGTAGAGTCCTGTGTAACCTAAGCTAAGGCCTCATTTTCAGGATTGGACCAGATGTAAAGTGTGAAGTATATGTCATCCAAATGGCTATGAGTTATTGATGTATCTCTCTGCTGCTTGTATTGTGTCAGACTGGTCCTGTTCTCTCCTCCTTATTGTATTTCAGTAACCTCTGCTACCAGTGCAAGCTGGGGGATGAAAGGATTGAGCACAGCCCTGCTGAAAAGTACTTGAGGGTACTGGTGTGTGGGAAGCTGGACATGAGCCAGCAATGTGGCCTTGCAGCCCAGAAAGCCAACCGTATCCTGGGCTGCATTAAAAGAAGCATGGCCGGCAGGTGGAGGGAGGTGATCCTGCCCCTCTGCTCTGGTGAGGTCTCACCTGGAGTAGTGTGTCCAGATGTGGAGTCCTCAGTACAGGAGAGCCATAGACCTTCTGGAGCACTTCCAGAGGAGGGCCAGAAACGTGATCCAAGAGATGAAACATCTCTTCTACAAGGACAGGCTGAGAGAGCTGGGGTTGCTCAGCCTGGAGAAGAGAAGGCTTTGAGGTAACTTGGTAATGACTGTGCAATATCTTAGAGGGGTGATATAGGAAAGAAGGGGACAGACTCTTTATCATGATTTGTTGTATAGAGCAAGGGAAAATGGTTACAGACTTAGAGAGGGTAGATTTAGGTTAGATATAAGAAAATCTAAAAGTCTTTTACAGTGAAGGTGATGAGACTGGAAGAAGTTGCCCAGAGATGTGGTGGATGCTCTGTCCCTGGGGATTTTCAAGGCTCGGCTGGTCAGGTCCTGGGCAACTTGATCTAGCTGTGCATGTCCCTGTTCATTGCAGGAGAGTTAGAATAGATGACATTTAAAGGTCCCTTGCTATTCTAAGTATTCTATGATTCTATACTGTTTTTTTTTCTATAAAAATCTAGCCATGTTTTGGCAAAGTTTGGCAAACCAGTATTTTGTGCATTTTAATTACAAATGCTTCTGACATCAACAGCTAAAATGTCTGATGTCATCTGTAAAGCTTTATATATGATGAAAATTCAGATAGTTTTCTTTTGAATAATGAAATAGGTTCCCTCTAGTTCTTTCAGGCCTAAAACCTGACATTGGCTTTAACAGATATTTGTCATTTCTGTATACCAATATGGAGTCGGATATTTGAGATGAGATCACGGAGCTATTCTCTATATGTATATTCTCTTGTATCTAGATAGCATGGAAAGGAAGGCTGTTACACTGAAGTCTAAGAGAAGAAATAAAACAAATACTGAGGAGTGGGTTTAAAAAATTTAAAAAAAAAATAAAATAAATGCACTAGTGCTCTTATGGAAGCATCCTATTAACTAGATATCTGGAGGAAAAATCAAGGGATGTTTCCAGTAGAGGGAAAGCTGGCTGGTCAAGGAAAAGTTGAGATTTTACACAAACATTGGGATTGATACAAAAGTGAAAATAGGAGCATGAGAGGAAGGGAAACAAGAAGGCAAAGGATACGTGCATAGAGTCATAGAATTGCTCAGGTTGGAAAAGACCTTAAAGATCATTAAGTCCCACCACAATCTAACCAAATTACCCTAACTCTAACAACCCTCTGCTAAATCATGTCCCTGAGCACCATATCTCCTGTGCCTCAATGTCCTTTCTGTACTGAGGTGCCCAAAACTAAACACAGTACTCGAGGTGAGGCCACACCAGTGCTGAATACAAATGCAGGATTACTTCCTTAGTCCTGCTCAATACACGTTCCTTATACAAATGAAGATGCCATTGGCCTTCTTGGCCACCTGGGCACACTGCTGGCTCATGTTCAGCCGACTGTCCATCAGTACACCAAGGTCCCTTTCCATCAGGCAGCTTTCCAGCCATTCC